GAACTGTTTTTGCTTGTAAACTGTGCTTGATCTGTGCATATTTCTCTCCTGATTCAGACAAAACAACTTTTGAGACAACAAGCAATATTATGGATGACTCATATTTTAACCGGAAGCAAAGGTTTGAAGATAAAAATGCCTTAATGATGGATTTGTTTCTTAAAAACATGCAGCTTTCCACTTCACAAGACGTTAATGGACTGGAGTGGTGTGGATTATTGTGATGTTTTTATCAGATGTTTGGACTCTCATTCTGACGGCACCCATTCACTGCTGAGGATCCATTGGTGAGCAAGTGATGAAATACTATATTTCTCAAAATCTGATAAAGAAACAAACTCATCAACATCTTGAATGGCATGAGGGTGAGTAGTACATTTTCAGCAAATTTTCATTTTTGGCTGAACTATTCCTTTAAAGAATGTCAAAATAGTCTATACAAAATACCGCCTAATCAGGATTGTTATAAGCACCTGTGTGTGTGTTATAATGTCTCATTTTTTACATATTTCTCATCTGATTTACAAAGCAAATCTTCAAACACAGACATGCAGTTTATCCGGTTCCCATCAAAGAAACACACATGCCACTCAAAACCATTCACACATTTTTCAATTCAAATTCAAAAACATCACAATGGTAATGACATCACATGTCTGTGTTTGTTCTTCACTTCTCCAAAATCACATGCTTCCGGTGAACCATCACAAGCGCCTCACAACAGTTTCCACATGAAATCATTCTCAGCTGTTTTGAGGAGGCCGGTTTTCTTATGACAGGCTTCTCTGAAGGTTCTAGACAACCTTATCAGTAAATTCAATTTCAGATGCATCATAACAATCAACTCTTGCCAAGACTTCAGATTTACCGAATCAGATTGAGAAATGTTCTGCATTTGCATCTGCATCATTCCTCTTGTAAGATGTAAATATGTTCCTTAAAGTAATTACAGAGAAAGCAAATACACCCTGTTCCCTCTTTCTAAAAATGATACGATTAGAATGATGCGAGACTGTTAAACTGAATTAAACAGCATTTTGGGAGAATAAAAAACATAAGAAACATAAGATAAGATATTCATATGACAGTTGCAACATCATGCACTGCCTGGTATCTATTTCATTTCATGCAATTTCATCAACAGCTCAGCTGCTCAGCATACAGTACAGCCAACTTTTCCAACTTTGGCTGCATCACAGGCTTTGCACACAATGCACCTCTCTGATCTCAGATACAAAGTGACAAGACACACAACGTGCTTTTTGAACAACAAACATGCATTACATAAGATCTGCCCCCACTTCCAGCCCAGCTCATCAGAGAGCCAAGAACCCGGTGCAAATGTGCCAGAATTGGGCTAAGCTCGATGCCGAAGCATTTGCGTGAAAAACAGCATATTTTAACACAGCTGTCAGGTTGAAATACTGACACATTTAACGATCTGCACACGCAGAACTGAAGCCGATTCGGTCCAAAAGCTCTGGTTGAACAAGTAGTTTTGAGAATTTAATTTCTGATCTGAGAAATGCACCAAAGCGACTGAGAAAAACTGTAATCACAGAGTCAAACTCACAATAAGAAGCTCATCTTATTCTGTCTGGCCGGTTCGGAGTTCTGCTGCTGGTCCCGGTCCGCGGTTCGGCTTCGTGTAGCGCAGAGACACCTGGCAACAAACTTCCCACAGTCGCTGTGGATTCTCTAGTCTAATATGATTTGTAGATCTGTAAATCACGTTACATTAGAGTAAATCCAGGATGAAGGCTGACTTATGTTTTGGAGATCTGTGTTAATGCCAAACCACAAAATCTCGCGATGGTTCGAATAGCTGACGTAAGCCTTTATTCTGATAGATAGATAGATAGATAGATAGATAGATATATAGATGGGCAGCATGACAATCTTTATTCAATCACAAACTTTGCCCCAAGCACATACACACACCGCACCCACACAAATACAGTGGGAAAGTATTTGGACACTTGACTTAGAAATGAAGAAATTTCATTATATATATTATAGATATATAGGTAGGTAGACAGACAGCCAGGTAGGTAGAGACAAGTTGGTAGGCAGACAGATAAGGTAGGTAGAGAGGTAGACAAGTAAGTAGGCAGACAGACAGATTAGATAGATAGATAGATAGATAGACAGATAGATAGATAGATAGATAGATAGATATTTTAAGTTAATATTTCAATAATTGTACAGCACATTTGCATATTCACAGTTCTCAAGGTCACATGACATGCAAATAAACAAATAAAATATTTCATCTTTTTAGTAAATGTTTCATTTTGATTGTTTAAAAGTACTTATTTTTTTAATCAAATGTAAATCAGTTGATATATTATTTTTTATATTAAACATTGAAAAAATAATTCATTTATTTTAATCAGTGTTCTTTATTTATTTTGTTTACTTATATTTTAATATTGTTTTATTAATATTATTTTGTAACACTGTTGTTTTTTTCATGAACCTCGACTAATCCTGGACCCCAGTTTTTATTTACATTTTTTTTATTTTAGAATTATGATTATTTTTTGAATATAGGCCCAACAAAAAAAAAGACCCAATTTATACTGTGAAAAATTCATATTCTAAATATGTGTAAAATATTATTTGAAAAATAATTAGTTTATATAATGTTACATTTATTTATGTTTTACTCACTATAATACTGCATTGTTCGATTGATTGATTGTTTTAAATTATCTTATTTTCTTGTAATATAATTCATTTATTTTAATTAAACTTATTTATTTAAAACCTAATTTTATATGATTATAATATAATTCTAATGATTAATTATAAATATTTAAGCTATTTATTAATATTAATAAAATATATGCATTTAAAATGTATTTATTTAAACATATTTTTAATCAGAGAACAATAATATTACACAACAGAATGGAAATAATGTTTTCCCCCTTACTTTAACAGTTTGGTTGTGACTCATTCGCATAATAGTAGAAGTAGTAATAGTAGTAGGCTATAGTAGTAGTAGTATTAATAATAATAATATTAATAATAGTTTATTAGTGATTGTTTAGAAGTTTACCATACATTTTTAATATACTTTTCAGTCTAATAATAATAATTCATAGTAATAGTAGCAGAAGTAGGCCAGTAGAATGTATTAAAAGTATTAGTAGTATTATTAGACTGTATTAAAGTTGTGATGGCAAACGCTTTTAAACACATAACTGTACTTTACACTACACTAGTTGTCCAAACGCCAAAGTCCTGACTGCGCAAATGTTGATGCGGTTGATGCTCCTGACGCTCCATATGCGCAGTGACGCATTATTGGCTCCACCCACAATGCAACACAGACAAGGGAACCTCCAAGACAAGCAAACGCTCTAGCGTTACTAAATTAAACTGACATTACACCGAGGATTATCTGACTCTGAGGACACCGATTCAGCGACACCTTTTAACTCGAACTCGACGAAATTCGACAGCGATCCTGAGAAATTTGGATTATATTTCGCTGCCTTCTGCCTCTATTACACTATAATAAGAGCAGCGGCGTCCTTACAGCATTATTTTTTATCCAGGACGATTTTACAATCCAGTTTTTTTTCGGTGATATTTTTGGCTGCCGATTGTTTGATAACTTTATTACGCAATTTGTTTATTTGGCTGATATTACAATCAGCTATACTTTCCAGCCATTGTCCTCGACGGGGAAAGAGCGACGCCCTCAGGCCGCCGCTGGTACTGCAGCTGCCGGTGAGTTGTAAGTGAGACGCCGGGAGTCTGAATCATTTAACGGTGGAAAATGAGCTCAGAAGAGGCGGCAGCTCCAACCAAAACCGGCACAGACGACGATGGCATGTCCTGGTGGTACCGCTGGATCTGCAAACTGGCCGGTGTCTTGGGTGGCATATGTAAGTGCATCACACGTGATTGTGGCCATATGGCTGTTTAAAGCAGAATAACAGCATCAGCCATGTGCTTCCTGATAGACAGCTGTGTCCTTGTGTGATGGCATCTGAAACCTTTCCAACAACGATACTCTTACACCAAACACAATCACATGTCCTGTGCTGGACTTCTAGTGGTTTCCCTACAGCATATCAAATTATGAAAAGATAATGTCAAGATCTTCTTAGTGACATCACTTCCTTAGAAGCAAAGCTGTACAATAGGGTTTCAATCTTTTAGATGTCACGGACCCCCAAATATAATCATCTTTGAGCAAGGGACCCCCTTCTAAAATTTAAAAGACAGCTTTTTATGTATAAAGATCCAATTTATACAGCAAAAAAAGTATTACAGATATACTGTTAAATGCAGTATTTATATATTATCAAATATATTTTTATTTCAATCGATTTATTTATTTTAATCAAACTTAGTTAAAATTATATTTTGTATTTTAATCAGACTTATTTTATTTTAATTAACAGTTAAATTATTTTTATTTATTTTAATCAAATTATACATTATTTTCATTTAAATCTATCTATTTATTTTACTCCAACTCATTTATTATTTAGTATTTATTTTAATCTAACATATATTTATTTTGTTTAATTTTATTTTCATTTTTTAAACTGATTTTCTCAAAACTTTTCGACAGACCCCTCCCTGCATGATATAATATAGGTGAACCATATTATTGATTATTATCAATCACTATATCATATAGACCAGCATATGCTCATCAATTTGGGATGAATGCAAACCATGATGTTTTCGTCCTTCTCTGTTAATCAATGCACTCAAGGAGATCATTGCTTTGAACAAAGACATGGCTAATCAATCACACCTTCAGACAGTGACTCTCATAGAAAACCTGTAGAAATTCTGTCATGGAGAATCAACACCTACAAACAAGTAGTTATGGTTCCAGGGTTATACTTGGAGTACCAAATGCATTGGTATATGAAATACAGTAATCCTTCAATATTATGTATTGAAGTGAGGGAAATGAGTTTGTGATTTAAGTGCTTTTAATACATAATTTTGTGGTAAATATGCTGAGATTTGAGGTGTAAACTCACTGTGAGATGCTGGAGTGGTTTGTATGAGCTCTTTTTTGTAGACACTGTCATGGTAACACAGGTGTCATAGCAACTGCAACTTTCTCTTCTCTTGCTCGTTTCTTTCTCATCTTTTTGTTCTGTCGTGTCTTTTGTTAGGGATCACCATGTGTTATGAACCAATAACAATAACAATATCTCTCTCTTTCTCTAGTGCAGGGGTTTTCAATCCTTTAGGTGCCACACTCACCCAAATATGATCTTTAATAACCATCTATATAGTTTATTATTTATACTGTGAAAAATGTTTACTGTGAGTTTTTATTTTTTTTTACGTTCTTTTATGTATTTTACATTGTTTTTCTACTCATTATAGTACTGTTAGATTTATTATTTATTTACATATTCATATTAATATTTTTTTTTACTTCAATTTTACTTTTATTGTGTTTTTACAATTACAAATAAGATTAAAATAAATAAATAAATATTTGATATATATATATATATATAAGGATCAATCTAACAGGGACTATAGAAGAAAATTAGGTACAATGCATGAAATGGTAACATTTATGTTAAAATTGTGCATGGCCCCTTTAAAAAAAAAAAAGTAATAATAGTAAAAAAAAAAAACCAGTACTATAAACTTATTGAAAACCAGTTTGAAACTAGTGCAAACACAATCTGTCTGTCTCTGGCTGTATTCTGATATTGATTGATTTGGCTGTAGGCGGATACACTTAATCGCTGCTGTATTATTCTGTTCAGTATTATTCATTAGACACAAAGATTGAGCTTACACTAGGTCTGAACACACTCTCACACACACACACACACACACACACACACACTTGTGCCAGCAGTACTCTGTCTGTCTGTGTGTCTGTGTGTGTGTGTGTGTGTGTGTGAATGTCTGTGAGTCAATAGTTCTCTGTTCTCGTCTACATATGCTGAGACACAGATGACAGAAGCAGCTGCTCATCAAACCCAACAAAAGCTTGCGCTCCATCCAGCAACCAGCTGCTCCTTCCTGTGTGTTTGAACGTATTTTGTACAACATGTAGAAGTTGATTCTGACCACTATATCATAATTGCTTAATCTTATCACTAATAAACTTACTTTAAATCAAATGATATATTATTTTATATTAATCATTTAAAAAGTAATTCATTTATTTTCATCAAAGTTATTTATTTGTTTGGTTGTAATTGTATATCATTATTATTGATGTTGTTGTTGTTTTTGTTTTAGGGGTTACGTTTTTCAATTTCCATGAACGCTTAGCACAACCTGGGCAACATTTTTTATTTTTTTATTATTTATTATTATCATTATTATTTTATTATGATTTAATGAATTATTAGCTTGGTAAACCCTGCAGGGCAAATATTTGGTTGATATTTGGTCATTTTGAGGAACATAAAAAAATTTGATTTATCATTTACCACTAATCACAATGTTTTTTTTTAGATGACAAATATAGATGTTATTTTCAAAAACGTAACACTTTTCTGTGTTTATTTTTTTAGCATGTGCAACAATGGGCATTTGGAACTGTGTGACTGTGAATCCGTTAAACATCGCGGCTGGAGTTTGGATGGTGTAAGAACTTGCATTTCAGTTCCCAGTGTTCATCAAGCCATGTATATAAGCCAATCAGAAGAGGAACCATCTCTGTTTTCCCTCAGGTTGACGGCGATTGTGTTGTTCCTGTGTGAGGTGCCCTTCTGCTGTCAGTTCGTAGAGTTTGCGAATGCTATAGCGGCGCGTGCAGACCGTCTGAAGCCCTGGCAGAAAGCCCTGTTTTACTGCGGGTGACTGGTTTACTTCCTTCACTGGATAATCAGTGTTACTGTGGAACTAATATTTACTGCGAAACAAAAAGTGTTTTTTTTAATCCAGGGGACACATGGTAACTCTAAAAGCTAAATCATCCACTGAGCTGTTTTTGACTTATAGGAGAAATTTGAAGACTAACAAGTGTAACTGTCCAAATCAATTAATTGGAATGCAAATATCAATGCAACCAAATGATGTGTGTCAAATTATAAAATAAAAGCCTTATCCTTTAATAACATCAGTAAATGTAAGTGTAACATGTAGAATTAATCTTTAATTAATGAATATTAAATTTACATTAGTTTCTTTTTCAAGTCTCTATGAAGTTACATTGTGTTTTTCAACTCATTGTAGTTCTGTTTATATATTATATATATATTTTTTTTTAATTATCATTTCTTTATCTATTTTTACACTGTTTTTCTCTAAACCTTTTCACAGATACTCTAGACCCCAGTGGACAATATTATTACAGCATTTCATGTTAATTTATATTAATGTTAATTTCATTTTATAGCCTATTAATACATTTTAACATTAGTTGCATAAGCGAACATTAGTTAATATATTATGAACAAACATTAATTTAAAGGGGTCATATGATGCAATTTCATTTTTTCCTTTCTCTTTGGAGTGTTGCAGGCTCTTGGTGCATAAAGAAGATCTGTAAATTTGCAAAGACGCTTTGTAAAAATCGACGTGTTTCAGAAAGGCGGGGCATAGAGGAGAAACAATAATGTACAGTATGTGGAAAATAATGCGTTTTTTTTACTTTAAACCGCATAAACACATTTCATTACACCAAATACACAAAATAATGTTCTTTTTAGCAGCATCATATGACCCCTTTAATATGAACTATATTATACACTACCATTGAAAGGTTTGGGGTTGGTAAGATATCTTTAATGTAGTCTCTTCTGCTTATCAAGACTGCTTTTATTTAATTAAAAAATGCAGTAATATTGTGAAATATTATTACAATTCAAAATAGCTGTTTTTTATTTGAGTATATTGTAAAATGTAATTTAATCCTGTGATGCAAAGCTGAATTTTCAGCATTATTACTCCAGTCTGCAGTGTCACATGATCCTTCAGAGATCGTTATGCTAATTTGCTGCTCAAGAAACATTTCTGATTATTAATGAGCTGCTTCACATTTTTGTGGATCCCGTGACACATTTTTTTCAGGCTTCTTTGATACTTAGAAAGTTTAAAAGAACAGCATTTATGTGAAATAGAATCTTTTGTAACATTATAAATGCCTTTACAGTCATTTCTGATCAATTTAATGCATCCTTGCTGAATAAAAGTATTAAAGGGGTCATATGATGTTGCTAAAAAGAACATTATTTGGTGTAATGAAATGTGTTTATGCGGTTTAAGGTTAAAAAAACACATTATTTTCCACATACTGTACATTATTGTTTCTCCTCTATGCCCCGCCTTTCTGAAACGCGTCGATTTTTACAAAGCTCATCGGTCTGAAAAAGCGAGGTGTGCTCTGATTGGCCAGCTATCCAGTGCGTTGTGATTGGCCGAATTCCTCAAGCGTGTGATGGAAATGTTACGTCCCTTACCATATTGTGATGCCTGCGGCAACCACATGTGATGACCCCGATCCGGTAATCCACAGCGCAAAGTTGATGTATTTCCTCAGCGACCAGCACAGATCAGCTCCAGGCATGACGAAGCATATATCGTCCTCTTTTGGAAGACCAAACAAAGTAGTTTCGCTTTCACAACGAAACACACAGCGTCTTCACGACATGGTGGCGGCGGCAACAACAATACTACAGCGAGAATAAAAGTTACACCTTCTTTCTTTGCGTGAACATTTGGGAGGCGTTATGCAAATCTTCCCACATCGTGATGTAGACATGTGGGGGCGTGTTAGAACGAGCCGTTTTAGGTAGGTGTGGCTGACTCTTAACTTTTATAAAGAATATCTCTTTGGATTTGAGACTTTAGTCTTTGCAACTTTACAGATCTTCTTTATGCACCAAGAGCTTGTAACACTCCAAAGAGAAAGGAAAAATTGAAATTGCATCATATGACCCCTTTAAATATGTATCAAAGGCTATTAAATGTTAAATGACTAAATGTTACATATAGACTGTCTACAATTTATATATTGAATATTGAATGTCTACAACCCAATTGTTAATGGGATTTTTTTGTTATAATTTTATCAGAATTAACACAGATTTCACTTTGTCCCTCAGGATGGCGTTGTTTCCCGTCTTTCTGAGCTTTTCCATCACAACTCTGTTTGGTAACGCCATCACTTTTGCTACAGGAGTGCTGTACGGACTCGCATCCCTTGGAAAGAAGTGAGCTCATGTTTGCATTTACTCGCACACAGAAAAAAACATTTCTTCACTGAGTAATTCTTCATAATATATTCAGCCATTATTGACTAAATGATGGACGATTGTGCGCTTTCTGTGTTTCAGAGGTGACGCGGTGAGCTACGCTCGATTGCAGCACCAAAAACAGGGCGACGAAGAGAAACCGACAGGAACAACAGACGGTTCAGTGCCGTGAACCTCCTCTACCTCCGCTGCATCCTTCCCTCTCTTTTTCCCTTCACATAACTACATGCATTACCTAGTGTAACCTTTGACCTCTGACAGCGTGAGTCAGTCAGCACAAATCAGTTTGTGTAGGATTTATTTAATAAAATGGGTTTTAAAGGGTTAGTTCACCCAAAAATGAAAATTCTGTCATTAATTACTCACCCTCATGTTGTTCCAAACCCGTAAGACCTTCGTTCATCTTCGGAACACAATTTAAGATATTTCTGATGAAATCTGAGGGCTCTCTGACCCTCCCATAGACAGCAAGGTAACTACCACGTTCAAGGTCCAGAAAAGTACCAAGATGATCGACAAAGTAGTCCGTGTGACATCAGTGGTTCAACTGTAAAGTTGTGACGTCATTACGCCGGATCTGGGTCTGCGCCGCCACACGCTCGCGTCATGGTACTGTCATGAACGCGCGTCCACAAGTGACGCAGTAGAGACGAAAATGTGGAATAAAGTCGTTATTTTTGTTTTCTTTGCACAAAAAAGTATTCTCGTAGCTTCGTAACTTTACAGTTGAACCACTGATGTCACACGGACTACTTTGTCGATCATCTTGGTACTTTTCTGGACCTTGAACGTGGTAGTTACCTTGCTGTCTATGGGAGGGTCAGAGAGCCCTCAGATTTCATCAGAAATATCTTAAATTGTGTTCCGAAGATGAACGAAGGTCTTACGGGTTTGGAACAACACGAGGGTGAGTAATTAATGACAGAATTTTCATTTTTGGGTGAACTAACCCTTTAAGTGGATTTTTTTCAATTGCGCTATCATGCACATTTGTTTAGTTTTTTTAAGTATTGATTTAATTATCATCTCACTTTATAAAAACCGACGTATTTTAGTTTGTTAACCCAAAGCTGGAGTGTAAATGAATGCATTAACTTCAGCGACCGTCTCCGTCTCTCGTATATTTCTCCCAGAATTCTTTGTTCTGAACTTTTGTGACAAGTAAATCTTTTAAACGAACAAACAAACTTGTATTTTAATGTGTAGGCATGGTAAAAACGTGTTTTGGAAATTGCAGGGCCTCTGCAGGGATTATAACGAAGTGTGTTTGTGTGTTTTTGTGCCTCTACAAACCAGCCTTTACCCAGAATCCTTTGCTGCAGCATGTTTGGTGTTTGTAAGAAATGGTGGAATGTAATTTAGCTATGCGCTGCTCTAAAACCTCGCTGTCACTTTCTTTATTTGATATTTGGTGAAAGAGTGTCTTTGAGAGTCTGATCTGCGCTCTTTTCATAGCCATTAATCGGGTTAGACGCCATATTGAATTTAACACGGATGAAAACAAGGCTGTGAGGGCTAGACGTTATGGAGTTTTTGTCTACTGAAAGTTTTGTTTCGTCAGCTGAACATTGGGTTTGTTGTTAAACAACAGTACAATCCATTGAACGCGCTGTACTTCAGTCCCTCACAGCCTCATTTTCATTCCTGTCAGAAATGTAATATGGCACTCCCCTGACGGAAGTCTGTTGAGAAGCTTGTGTGAGTGTTTTTCTGAATGATGAGGTGCATTTCGAGCGGTTTACCTTCCGTCTTCAGGAACTTGCGTGTGTTTCTGTCTTTGCTCTCAAGCCATGCGTCTCTTGCTGCACTGAAGAAGGGCTTCTTTTCTGGAATAAGAAACGACTGGGTTTGTTGATGCTGTGATGATGTGTTGTTTGCTTGTTTCTGCGTCTATCTGAGCCAGTCTCAACACTGACCGTGGAAAGTATGAAAGCCAAAGGTACAAACTACAAGATAAAAGAGCTATAGTTTGGAGGTCAGAGGTCATGCTCTAACCATAGTGTTCACACTGTTACTGTCTTTTGTCTTTAAAGGGTGAATTTCATGAAATTGGTCAAGGGTGTCTAGATTGTATTTCACCTACAAATCTTTTTTTTTTTTCATGACAATTAAGCACATTTATTCAAATAAAATACATTCATTTATATAATTGAATTTATTTAGATTTAAATACAACCATTATATTACAGGAATAAAATTACGAGAATTGAAATAAATCTCATAGTAACATGTTTGGAATGTTAAAATGTAATTGCTTAATTGTCACTGTTACAATGCAGAAATGAAGATGCATTTTAAAAATGCCAGTGTATATATTTTTTTTTCCTTTTGGTTTTAGTATGAAATGTATGGAAGCCCATTTTCACAACAGAATGAAAAGATAAAAAGGGTAATTGCGTTTTTTTATCATCTTTTTTTTCCGCACAAAAGGAAGAGTTCATATCTTACCATTCAAACTATTTTTGCGGGTTTATATCAGAATTAGATAGAATTACGAGATGTAAACTCACAATTATAAGAAAATTCACAAAAAAGTCACCTTTAATTTTTTTATTCTGTGGCAGAAAAAAAAAACAATTGTGAGACGTAAACTTGGAATTGCGAGGACAAAAGTCAGAATTTTAAGTTTATCTTGCGATTCTGCCTTTTTCTTCAGAACTGCAAGTTTATATCTCAGTTATGAGGAAAAAAAATTATTGCAAGAAATATTTTTTTCTCAGAATTTCAGAAAAGTTTTGAATTGAATTATGAGGTAAAAAAGTCGCAATTACCTTTTTTTATTGTGCCAGAATCGGGCTTCCATATAAATGTTATCTGGGTGTTTGTGGGATTCATTATTTTAGATGCTCACATACTGTCATGAAATACTTTCACCAAACTTTTCACAAATTTTAAAGTGTTTTGCATGAATGTTCAGCAGGTAAAATTATCTCCTTATATATAATATAAAATATAATATATAAATGTATATACATGTAAATATTTTCAAAATATACTGTATGTGTGTGTATTTATATATACGTAATAAATATACACAGTACACACATATATTATGTAAACAAAAAACGTTTATTTTGGATGCGATTAATCGTTTGACAGCACTACCAATAACACATCTGAGGCATCAGGCTTGTTAAGTCTCCACCAGCACACAAACCAGCTCAAATTTAATGTCCACCTAGCTATATTGTAGAATTAACTATTATTTATCACTAACCTAGGTTTTCCAGATTTGGAAGCAAAGTCGTCCTAAAGCTGGAGCTCTAGTTTTGTCATCTCTTGAATGTGATCTCAGTAATCACGATATCATAACTAAACACTTCTGTATTTGACAAACTCAACACTACTGACTGAAAGAAGAGATTTTGAAACACCAAAATTGTTCGGCACAAAATAAACTTGAATTGTCATTAGCTGTTTAGCAGTGATCTTGTCTCTCTGTGTATTTGTGTTGGATCAGTGACATGTAACTGATTGACTTTGCGATGATGTGTAAAAAATAAAATAAATAAAAAAAGGTATTTTTTCTGTTTTTTTTCCCTATGAGCTAAATAAAGACAGTCTCTGACCTTCTCGCTTTCTTGTTCTGTTTCTGTGTAAGAAACATCTGATATCTAAAGTATGATTTAACTACTACTTTTAAAGACCCTGTGGAATTTTTTTTTTCTTTATTTACAGCTACATCTGGTGTTTTTAATATGCTTGAAGACGTGTACAAATTAATCTATGGTCCCTTTAGTTTTCAAAAGACTGTGATGATGCGTTTAACGGTCATCAGTATCGTAAATCCTCGAAGGTTTTGCATATTTGTATTTTTATTAAATATGTACATTTTTGACGACTTCCGCTGCTGAGAAATCCGGAAATGTGAAAAAGTTCCTTCAACTTTATTTCCGCAAGACAATTTTCGGGGTGGGGCTTTTTATATCATTAGCATATCACAAGATTTGTGCAAGATTAGCAAAACATTATTAGCTGCAAAGGCTAATGATATTAATTACCGTTACTCGTCCGACATTGTAGAGAGCGATACATAAAATGGATTCTGATATGGACCTGTAGACAATCCTGTAAAATTCCCTCTTCCTCTTCTTCGGAATCAGTTTCTGGTTCAAACTTGCATGACTGAATTAATCCACTATTTTGACAATAGTCTTTGATTTTGTAGCGTTTAAGATTTCATTATATTTCATTGCCATTATTTGTGTCATTCGATGTGAGAAATCAACACCTTGTGCACATCAAGTGTGGGGTCTTTAATAGCAGTTCAGACAGAAAACTATGAAAGTCTCCAATAACGGTTACATCTGTCATGTAATTTTAAACAGGATGGAAAATAAGCATTTAAATTACTTGGTATAAAAGAGCTCAATAGAACACTGATAATCTGAACGGTTTGATGGTCTCATTCCTCAAATAACAGAAGATAGGATTTAAGATTCAAGTACAAACTGAGAGACATTCAGACAGGAATATTAAACAGTTCATCATAACGTAACTGAAGACAGTGTTACTCCACGCTTGTAAAACAGATCCATGTTTCAGTCTGTCATGTTTTGCGAAGAGTTTTTTTTATCGGCTGATCTGAATTAATTTGCTCTGGTTTTTAGGAGTTTTGGGTTTTCGTGGGCTCTTCTGAAATTGACCCGCCCGGGCGGCTTTAAGCTCCGCCTCCCACTGCTTCTTCACCAGAGTGTACAGCCTCATAGTGGCCTGAGCATCCTGAACCTGTGATGCACACACAACATTGAACTGATCAAAAGTGACAGCAAAGACATTTATGTAACAAAAGATTTATCAGCATATTAGAACTGAAGACTGGAGTAATGATGCTGAAAATTCAGCTTTGCAGCACAGGAATAAATTACATTTTAAAATATATTCAAATCGAAATTTTATTTGAATTGTAATAATATTCTACTGCATTTTTGGTCAAATAAATGCATAAATCGTGGTGTACAAAAGAAACGCCTTTCAAAAATATTCAAGTTTCTCACACCAACCCCAAACCTTTGAATGCTAGTCTATGCTTTAATTCCTTATCTTGTATTATATGGCAAAAGATCAAGCCATGCACGTTGAAATAATGAATGGAGAACAGTGTTTGTCTTAGATGTTGAAGAGTGACTTACAGATGAATGTTCACCCTGCTGGACTTTAACACTGAGAATCTCTTTGCATAAAACCCGCAACGCAGGACGTGCGCTCTGAGGAAGAGGACAAGAAGGAGACATTGACAATTAAAATGTGCATATTTATTTATTATTAATAATACTGATTTATGAAGTTACCAGCAAATTGTTTCATACCTTTACTCTCTGCCTAAATGGTTTGTATTTCTGTGTGTCTCTGATCATTTTCTTGGGATGATCCAGCAGCAAAATCTATGAACACCACAAAAGTGTTTAAAAGAAATCTGACAGTTTGTTAAAGGAATACCTCATTTGAAAATGTCATCATTAGTCGCTCTCAAGCCATTCCGATCCCGTATGCTGTAATATAGCCTAGTTTGGTGCTTTTTTGGTGTTTGTTTTCCACAGAAAAAGCATACAGGCCTGGAATGATGTGAGCGTGACAACGGCCTTTTTTGTGTGTACTGTACCTTTAAGTCATTGTGAATGGCGTGTCCTACTAATATTCTTCCTTCCAGAATCTGAGCCACTTCTTTCTGGACTGTCTTGATGTCCTCACCTGTTAATCACATGAGGAACAATAAATAATCTCATACATGCAGAAGCCTGTTTCCACCACAGAATAAAAAAAGGTAATTGTGACTTTTTTTATCTCTCAATTCTGAGTTTAAATATCGCGCAATCTTGAGCTAACATTTCCCAATTCTGCCATTTTTCTCAGAAATCTGAGTTTATATCTCTTTTAAAGGTCGCCTAATTTCATGGACGAAAGGATCTGTCTGCATCACAAGATGCATATTTCGACAGAAATATTAAAGTATATAAAATTGCTAGAAGTACAGTCAGAATAGTGACATAAAAACACAATTTTGAGAAAAAAATTTAATTACAAGATGTTAACTAAAAATTGAGAGATACATTTTGGATTGTAAGAAATAGAAACATGCAATTTTGAGAAAAAAGACAGAATTGTGAGATGTTAACTCATAACTAAGAGTTATAAATTCAGAATTGTGAGAAATACAGTCAGAAATGTGATATATACCTGCAATTCTGAGAAAAAAGTAAAGATTTGTGATGTTAACTCAAAATTGTGAGGAACAGAGGCAGAATTGTGTCAGACACAATTTTAAGGAAAAAAAATCAGAATTGCGAGATATTAACTCAAACTTGCAAGACATAAATTCTGAATTACGTGAAATACAGTCAAAATAGTGTTTCGATGCAATTTGGAGATAAATGTCGGAATTGCGAGATGTAAACTCAAAATTGCATGAGTCACACTTAAAATTGCGAGAAATACTTGTTTATTTTCTTACTTACATTCTTATTCTATACTAGTGCTGTCAAGCGATTAATCGCGATTAATCGCATCCAAAATAAGTTTTTGTTTACATAATATATGTGTACTGTGTATATTTATTATGTATATATAAATACACAAACATGCATGTATATATTTAAGAAAAATATGTTGTTTATATATTAAATATATTTATATATTAATTAAATTACATGAATATAAATTAGACATCTAAATACATGTAGATATTTTCTAAATATATACTGTATGTGTGTGTATTTATATATACGTAATAAATATACACAGTACACACACATATATTATGTAAACAAAAACTTTTATTTTGGATGTGATTAATCGCTTGACAGCACTATTCTATACAAACAACCATTTCATCAAATTTGTAGTATTTTTCAAATGCACTAGAGACTATTATGAGGGGTCCTGACCATTTTCGATGTCCGCCGGTCTGATTCCACTAACAGCCGTCCTGTAGTCCATAACCTTTTCCGTGGGTTTGATGTATTTATCGTAGATGCATTTCCCAAAGTGGTTGCACACATATTATGTAAACAAAAACTTTTATTTTGGATGTGATTAATCGCTTGACAGCACTATTCTATACAAACAACCATTTCATCAAATTTGTAGTATTTTTCAAATGCACTAGAGACTATTATGAGGGGTCCTGACCATTTTCGATGTCCGCCGGTCTGATTCCACTAACAGCCGTCCTGTAGTCCATAACCTTTTCCGTGGGTTTGATGTATTTATCGTAGATGCATTTCCCAAAGTGGTTGACGATGGAGACTCGCGCTAGAATGCTGTCCTCCCCATCACACCCAACACCCACCATCTCACAGTCCATAGCGACAGCACGGGTCAATCTGAAATCAGCCACAAGATTACATCACTTTCCTTTAAAACCGATGACTACCCAGAGAACTGCAGGTGTCTCACCCCTCAAACCCGTGCTCTTTCACCAGCACTTTCTCTGTGACTTCTGCGCTGGACTTCAGCATTCCGCTACGTTTTCGTACGATGTCTGCAGCCTCGGGCCCCAAAGCCGCCTCGATGTCATCAGGGTCCACGTCATCAAACCAGATATCAGGCCTAAGAGGAAACAGTGTTTCAAGAGGACAGTATGGAAGCTCGAATCCACCATGAAATTAAAATGAAAAAATGAAAACTGTATTTGCAACTTCTTTATTTCACAATTTACACTTTTTTCTTAATAATTGCTAGTTACGCCTCGCAATTTAGACTCTTTTTCAATCAGAATTCTGAGTTTCTCTCACAATTATGACTTTTTCAGAATTCTGAGTCAGAATTATCACGCAATTCAGATTTTTTTTCTCAGATCAGTTTACATTTTACAATTTTGACTTTTTAAATTCAATTTGAAGTAAAGAATTTTATTGAAATAAATAAATCTAACAAAAACAGTACTATAGTGCGTGGAAAAAAAGACATCATAATTCAATGTAAAAAATAAATATTTTCCAAATAATATTTGACACATATTTATAATATTTTTCACTGTATAAATTAATATAAATAATATTGAATATAAATATAGCTGGCTTTCAAATTTTAGGATGGAAGTCCCTAGCACAAAGATAATCATATTTTGGGGTTTAAAGTTTTTCTCACATCTAGCTTTGTGTCTTGCAATTTCGACTTCTTATCGCAATATTCTGAGTTTGTCTTGAAATTTTGATTTTTATTCTCAGAATTTATATAATTTATATTTCATTTTCATATTGGTATATTTCTCAGAATTTATATTTATTTTGAATTTATATTTATATAATTATGTTTTTATAGAGTTTATGCGTTGCAATTTAGAACCTTTTTCTCAAAATTCAGAGTTTTTCCTCGCAATTCTGTCCTTTTTTCTCTGAGTTCTGAGCATCTTGCAATTCAGGTTTTTTGTTTCAGCCACAAAATAAAAAAAATAATAAAAAGGTAATTACAACGTTTTATCTGAATTCTGATTTTATTTTTATTGAGTCAATTGAGACTCAATTGAGGTCTGAGTTGTCAATTGAGGACAAAATTCTGAGTTGTGTTATACAAACTCAAAACTGTGAGAAAAAAAAATTAATTGTGAGATAAAAATAATGCAATTATCTTTCTTCTTTTTTTTATTCCATGGCAGAATCAAGTGTCCATAGGACAGTCATATGAAACGAAACAGCATTAAAATGCACACATACTCTGCTGTTTTCTTTTCCACCTCCTCGACTTTCTTCTTTTTGTTCATCGGTTTCTCTTTTTCATCCTTTCTTTTCCTCTTCTCTGCTTTGAATTGTTTGTGTCTGGCGGAGTCTTTTCCGTTCTGTTGGTCTCCATCTTTTTCTACTCCTCCAGATGTCTCAGAAGCAGGTCTGACAGTCCGTGCAGGTTTTTTCAAGTGAAGTTTATGAGAGTCTTTGGAAACTGTCTTCTGAAGCTGCTTTCCTTTAACGTTTGCATCTTTCGCCTGTTTTGTGTCTTCATTCTTCTTTTCAGGATTTGCAGCAAGAGTCTACACCTAGCACAAAGATAATCATATTTTGGGGTTTAAAGTTTTTCTCACATCTAGCTTTGTGTCTTGCAATTTCGACTTCTTATCGCAATATTCTGAGTTTGTCTTGAAATTTTGATTTTTATTCTCAGAATTTATATAATTTATATTTCATTTTCATATTGGTATATTTCTCAGAATTTATATTTATTTTGAATTTATATTTATATAATTATGTTTTTATAGAGTTTATGCGTTGCAATTTAGAACCTTTTTCTCAAAATTCAGAGTTTTTCCTCGCAATTCTGTCCTTTTTTCTCTGAGTTCTGAGCATCTTGCAATTCAGGTTTTTTGTTTCAGCCACAAAATAAAAAAAATAATAAAAAGGTAATTACAACGTTTTATCTGAATTCTGATTTTATTTTTATTGAGTCAATTGAGACTCAATTGAGGTCTGAGTTGTCAATTGAGGACAAAATTCTGAGTTGTGTTATACAAACTCAAAACTGTGAGAAAAAAAAATTAATTGTGAGATAAAAATAATGCAATTATCTTTCTTCTTTTTTTTATTCCATGGCAGAATCAAGTGTCCATAGGACAGTCATATGAAACGAAACAGCATTAAAATGCACACATACTCTGCTGTTTTCTTTTCCACCTCCTCGACTTTCTTCTTTTTGTTCATCGGTTTCTCTTTTTCATCCTTTCTTTTCCTCTTCTCTGCTTTGAATTGTTTGTGTCTGGCGGAGTCTTTTCCGTTCTGTTGGTCTCCATCTTTTTCTACTCCTCCAGATGTCTCAGAAGCAGGTCTGACAGTCCGTGCAGGTTTTTTCAAGTGAAGTTTATGAGAGTCTTTGGAAACTGTCTTCTGAAGCTGCTTTCCTTTAACGTTTGCATCTTTCGCCTGTTTTGTGTCTTCATTCTTCTTTTCAGGATTTGCAGCAAGAGTCTACACACACACACACACACACACACACACACACACACACACACACACACACACACACACACACACACACACACACACACACACACACACACACACACACACACACACACACACACACACACACACACACACACACACACACACACACACACACACACACACACACACACACACACACACACACACACACACACACACACACACACACACACACACACACACACCAAATGTAAAAACACCTGACATATATTCCTCATTCAGAATTACTAATTCAGGAATTCAATATGATTTTACCATGGTAAATAATTCTTACCTGCAGTAACTTCTTCCAGTTGCACGAATACTCTTCAACTTTTGTGGGGGGCTTAATGTTTGGCTTTACAGTTGTTGGTTTCGTTTTCTTCTTTACAACTGTTTTTGTATCGTAGAAGAACGTCTTTTTATTGTTTTCATGTTTCTTTTTCTTCTTCTCATGATTTGATTGACCATTAGTTTGAACATTTTCGGCATGTTTCTTCAGCTTAACTTCAGACATCTTAAGTTTTTATCTAATTAACCTAATAAATAATAAAGCACTAAGGTGTTCCGCTTTTTCCGATATTACACTGAGCACGAACTTACTAGCAATAATTAATTTCTCCAGATGTTTACATTACTTTGAAGCTTTCTAGCGTCAACGCAGACCCGTGACATGCATGGTAACGCGGAAAATACTAAATATGTGGAAAGTATATATATATATCTATCGCTCTGTGCGAATATATTAGTTTAAAAACGTTCAATGCAAAAATTACTATTAGAGCCACATATAACTGTACCATGAGACAACCATGCTGATGGAACGTTCTGTCGCGTGTGTTACACCAACAGGACCGTGCAGTAACTGTATGCGAATGAACGTTCCGTTCTGTGTTTTGGACGTTTAGGAAAAAACAGTGTAGGAATGTAAAAATGGATTAAACGAAATAAATAATTTGATTAAAATAAACCAAAAAATAAATTATTTAAACAGCATTATAGTGAGTAGGAAAAAAACGTAACACTTTTCAAATAATGTTTTACACACATTTATATGATTTTTTTACATTATAATTTTGGCCTTTATATGATGAAAAATGTGAAAATATATAGCTACCTTGTAAATTTTAGGATGAGGGTCCCTTGCACGAGTATGATCATATTTAGTGGCCCATGGCATTTATGTATATATATATATATATATATATATATACACAAACAAAGAAAAACAAGTAGAATAGAAAGCTAGAGTTTTTTTTTTTTTTTTTTTTTTAAAAAAAAAAAAAAAAAAAAAAAAAAAAAAAACAGTTTGGTCAATGATGTTACACTAAAGAAAAAAATGGTATAGAAACTATTTTCTTTCAGAAATTACAAGTAAATTTCACAAATAATTACAAATAAATGGTAAGTAAAACATTGAATTAAACGTGAAATTTTAAAGTAAACTGAAATAATATTTTCTTACATAATGTACTCCAATAATCTTTATTTTATTTACAATTTTTTTTTTTTTTTAATATATATATATATTTTTTACAGTGTATGTCCATTTATGTTCGAATTTAATAAGTTATAAGAAAATGTATTAAAATTGTATTCATTCATAAAACGATGCTTTAATATACCTTTTTCAAGATGAATATGTTTCAGTCTCTGAATTAAAAGTCATGTCCAGGCCAAAATGTCTAGGCCAGGATGTCAAAAAAAGGAAAAAGCCTCAATAAAGGCCTGTATTTTGGCAGAATTGATCTTTTATTTATTAGTACCATCATAAACAAAAAGTTTGCATTCATTTATAATATGCAAATAAGCAATTTTGCATGTAAAAATCTCAGGAAATGAAGAAAACGTAATAAAAGTCTTTATTATGCTCATCATTTACAACATAAGTCACATTTAACTGTGCTAGTCTGTTGCACATATGTGAACTGGTAGGATCCTCAGACTACAAGTGACACAAACGCTAGAGAAGAACGGAAAGAGTCTCTCCGTAAAGTTTATTGTGAGTGAGCACAGATGAGTGTCGGTTACAGGATCAGAAAAAGACACCTTTCCTCCATCCCAGTCGAGTAAAACTCTCACCCTCTGCAGCTTCTCTTTAACACTAATTGGAGTGTAGGCTTGGTCCTGGTAATATGAGAAATATTTGTTATTTTTGTACCACACGCACCAGACATCTTTGCCAAAGAATGTAAATCCCTTCCTAGGGTTGGATGCTGTGGTTATTCCTACAGTCCAGTGTGTATTGTTGCCAACCTCCACATCCCAGCAGTGTGTTCCTGAGGTGAAGCCTTCAGAGCCCAGAACACACGGATAGACGTCGAATCTCTCTGGATTAGCGGGACAGGCGTGAGTGTCCGTGCTCCACGTCAGACCGGTCAGATCATCAGACAGCGTGAGCTCGGGATGTGCAGTGTTGGGGTCCAGAATCACAGGAGCTGATGAGACAAAATAATCAAGAGTTGGAGATCTATCATGTATGCACATAAGCAAGGGCTGGGTAATGAGACACGTTTCTCAATTCAGTTTTGATCTCATTTCAATTTGATTTGATATCGATTCATATGGATATATAGACAATCAGGTACGGTTCATGTCCATTTTTTCAAGGAACAAATCTCTCTCGACTTACTACAATAAGCCCTGTTCGCTGGTAGCTACATTAGTAAACAAACATGTAAATTGCACACAAGGTGGTTTTTATAATAAAAAGATTATAATAATAACTTTTCAATGGTATAATTATGTTCCTACTCCAGTGGATGTCATAACTTGTTTTCATGACGAATTTATTCAAACATTACATCCCAGATAGCACACGTACATCTGCAAGATGTCTGTTAAAGATCCATCGATCTGGAAAGCATCTGCTGTGTGCAAACATCTGACAGACGTCTTTAAGATGTCAGTTTTCCATACATTCTAAATCATGAACATCTTAAAGACATCTAACGTCTATTTGACATCTGTAGACGTATTGCAGATGAGCAAACGCTCGAATAAATACGTCTTGCAGATGTAAATGCAGACGTCAAATAGACGTCTCCGTGATGTACGTGTGCTAGTAAAATTGGCTAATGAACAATATTCATTATATAATATAACAAATATATTGTAGCCTAATATAGTGCATATATTTTGCAAATTTTTCTAGCTAGCTATCGAGTTTATGGCCATTGAATGTTTTTTCCAAGGTGAACGTGACGTCGCGTGACATTGTTTACAAGCTGTTTCATTGACGTCTTTCTGCGATTCAAACATGACCCACATGAAAAAATACTATAGTAATGTACAGTAAATACTATAGTGTTTTTGAACCATACTATAGTACTTGAATTAATTTGTTGTGGTAATTCTATAGTTGCTGTGGTAATATAACAACTATAGTAATATAAACGAATTACTTTACCCAATACTGTCCTACGTTTTCTACAAATAGGGCATATTATACTACAATACACTACAGTTTACTGTACATATACATACATCATCTGGGCCCCAAAAGCTTTTATTACCTCTTTTATTATATATATATATTTATGGGTTAATAAAAGCTTTTGGGGCCCAGATAGCATCTACAAGCAGGGGCCAACAGTGCCATGCTAACCAGCCAAAACATGACCTCTTGATTCCACCTGCCATAATTTGTTTTGGCATAAATTAAATGATATCAAATGAATCTTTATACACATTGTCAGAATTTATCAGATATGGTTAGTTCTCACATTTAAAAACGTGGCATCTTTGGCTTTCATTTGCTCCTCGATGTGTTTTATTGTGTCTGAAAGAGCTGAGATCTGTGTGTTCATCTCCTCCAGCTTCTGCTTCATCATCTGAATCTTCTGCTCCTCTTCCTCCCACAGTGCAGTGATTAGTGCCTCTTTTTCATCGATGAGGAACTGATGAAGCTTCTTCAACTCCTCATTAATCCGACGCTCTGTGTGCTGAGCTTGAGTCTCAAAGACAAACAGAAATAACGTTCAATTCAGTTCAGTTCAGTTCAGTTTTGTGTTGAGTGTGCTGAAGGGACAGTATTTAACAGTGTATCTTCACCTGGATGTGTTGAACTGCTTCCTCACACTCTCCTTTGACATATACATACATCATCTGGGCCCCAAAAGCTTTTATTACCTCTTTTATTATATATATATATTTATGGGTTAATAAAAGCTTTTGGGGCCCAGATAGCATCTACAAGCAGGGGCCAACAGTGCCATGCTAACCAGCCAAAACATGACCTCTTGATTCCACCTGCCATAATTTGTTTTGGCATAAATTAAATGATATCAAATGAATCTTTATACACATTGTCAGAATTTATCAGATATGGTTAGTTCTCACATTTAAAAACGTGGCATCTTTGGCTTTCATTTGCTCCTCGATGTGTTTTATTGTGTCTGAAAGAGCTGAGATCTGTGTGTTCATCTCCTCCAGCTTCTGCTTCATCATCTGAATCTTCTGCTCCTCTTCCTCCCACAGTGCAGTGATTAGTGCCTCTTTTTCATCGATGAGGAACTGATGAAGCTTCTTGAACTCCTCATTAATCCGACGCTCTGTATGCTGAGCTTGAGTCTCAAAGAAAAACAGAAATATCATTCAGTTCAGTTCTGTGTTCAGTGTGCTGAAGGTACAGTATTTGACAGTGTTTCTTCACCTGGATGTGTTGAACTGCTTCCTCACACTCTCCTTTGACTTCCTCTGTGTGTTTGAGCTTTTCTTGTAAGGACTTCAGCTTGATACTGAGCTCCTCCTAGAATTTAACCAAGAAAAAATGAGAAAATCCCACTGCATGTTATCCCTAGTCCAAAACATCCATAAGGAATGCCAGCATAATTCAGTTTTTTTTTCTTTCAAGATATCATATCATATGCACACTTATATAATTGGTCATTTTTAAATGTAGTGTATATACAGTGGTGTGAAAAAGTGTTGGCCCCCTGTAATTCTATAGTTGCTGTGGTAATATAACAACTATAGTAATATAAACGAATTACTTTACCCAATACTGTCCTACGTTTTCTACAAATAGGGCATATTATACTACAATACACTACAGTTTACTGTAGTAAAAACTAAAGTATACTACAGTATTTATTACAGTTTATCGCTTCACTATGGTTAATACTACAGTATGCTGTAGCATTCATTAACAAAGTGTTGTAAATACTATAATATATACAGTATAATACACTTTACTGTAGTATGGTTCAAAAACACTATAGTATCAAACCACAAAGCCTACTGCGATTTATTGGATGGGAGGTGCACTACAAATAGGTCAAAGGCTGATGATACACTGATGCAATGTTAGAATGGGTAACAAATTTCTATCTGGATACTTTAGATCGGTCATGGGCCCTGTGTATCACCATAATATTAACCAAAGTTGCCCCGTGTATCATCAGCCTAACCTTTTTGTTCATGCATCAACTGAAAACAGCATAGATTGATCAGTTATTTAAGTTTATCAAAATGAGAATCGATCTATGCGAGAAATCTGTATTTCTTATTTATAAACCAAGCCTAATATATACTTAAAGACACACCGTTTTGGACAATATCTCGCATCTTCAGCCAGACTCCAAATGTCAGGTTGCCCAAGTGATTTGCCACATGAATCAAAGCTGCAGGACTCATGTGAGGCTCCTGCTGTGGGCCCCGGGCTCTGGAAGATCAGTCTGCAGTGGGTTTGAGTTCACATTCATATGAAGAGAGTGACAGGAGGCGGAACACTTACCTTTCCATTGTGGCTTCAAAGTTCTGGAAAAAAAGCAGAAAAAAAATTATTATAAGAGAAAAATATCCATTAGCAGTTCCTCAGCTAATGCTGAAACATAGAACAGTGGTCCTCAGCGATGCCAGATAACTTAAAAACAATTTAATTAATAAATTATTATAAATATATTAAAATTACTGATTACTGATTTAAAATACTAAAAAACAAATATAATCAACATGTAAACAGACTTATTTTCGATTCTTCAAATAAATAACAAATATTTTCCTTCAAATATTGTGTTAAATTCTAAATAAAAATGCTACAAAAAATCAAGGTGTAAACTGACAATTTTTCCTTCAAATATTGTTAAAATAACTTAAATATGAAAAAATGTTTCTGTTAAAATAATATACCTCTTATCTAAATTAAAATGCTAAAAACACATAATATCAAGATTTAAACTGACAAAAAAATAATTTTGTCCTTCAAATATTGTGTTAAAATAGTATAAATATGAAAAACAAAGAAAAAAAATGTAATATTGTGTTTAATATAACTCAAATCTAAATTAAAATGCTAAAAATAAAGCTAAACTGACATCATTTTGTTTCTTTAAATATTATATTAAAATAACATATATAATAATATAATAAAAAATAATTTAAAAAAAATTCACAAATTGTGTTAAAATAA